TTTTTTGAAGCCTACGTTGATCTAGGTTTAGATTTAATTTGTATCTGAGATTATAATTGTGGCACTCGTGTCTGAAAGTATTTGGTTTGATCTTGGTAGTGTGCTTCTTCTATGATTCTCAAAGTCTTTTGTTGCAGTATTAGAATTTTCTGTAGTGCTGATTGGTCTGTGAATCCCCAGGCTATTATTCTGAAATTTATGTGAGTTGCAAAAAGAGTGTGATATAGGCTATGCCGTTATTGTTTTCGATTTGTTTGTAATTTTTCGTATTCTTCTCAATGCAAAAAGGGCTGATGACAGTTTTTTGTGCAAATTGTCTATAATGTTTTATGCCGGTTAAAATTATTATCTAACTTATTGTAATTCCTAGCAATTTTGTATTATCGGTTATGTTTTGTTGCATAAGGTTTTCTTCTTCCTGCTGTCTGTTTGTAGTTGTGAATTTGATGTATATTGTTTTCTTCTTATTTATGGTTAGGCTCAAGTTGTCGCAGATTTCTGTTGATAATTTTAATGCTACTTTTTTAGGTGTTTCTTCTGATTTTGTGGTTGGAGTTATGATTGTTGTGTCATCAGCGAATATTATGCATGAATAGTCTGGGGGTAAGTTGTCTGGAAAACTTTTGATAATAGGTTAGAAAGAGTAAAGGCCCGAGTATTGAGCCTTGTGGCACGCCGTATATAGTCTTTTGAAGTTCTGATCTTGTTTTTATTTGGTAGTTTGTTTTTGTAGTTTATTTTAACAGTTTGGCTTCTGTTATCAATGTATTTTGTATCCATTTTATGGCATTTCCGGTTATGTTCATGTTTTCCAGTTTGGCGATGAGGAGCTTCCGATCCAGGCTGTCGAAAGCCTTTTGTAGGTCCAGAAAAGTTCCTGTGGCTTGTTTCCTGTTGTCCCATAAGTTGGTGATTAAAATGTTTTTCTATATTACCTGTCCGTCAGTGATCCTACAGACCACAATAGGATCACTGATCGACAGGTAATATAAATCATTTTATTCAACAAGTGATCCTGGTCCACTAAGCATAATGAAGTTGGTGATTGTTTCGCAAAGTTGGGCTAGGGCTGTTTTTATTGACTTTCCCTGTCTGAATTGTGCTGGTTTGTGGATATTAACTTAATTTGGTGTTTTCCAGAAAATGTATCAGATGCATATTTATTGTTTTTTTCTAGATATTTTGAGAAAGTTGGTAGCAGTGATATTGGTCGGTAGTTTTCTATGAGCTGTGTTTCTCCTTTTTTGAATTTAGGATAAACTATGGATATCTTCTTTAGCTCTGGAACAGTCGATTGCTCAATTGATTAATTTATGATGTGTAAAAGGGATTCTAGAAGTTCATTTTGACAGAATTTGGAAATGTTGTCTATTCCTGATGAGTTCTTGGCTGGGAAGCTTTTAAAAATCCAAACAAACTCACTTTTTAATAGTTTTCACAGCCATTTTTTTGCAGCTTAAACAACATTTTAGTCTGCTGGCACTCACATCACCAAATAGGTGTTTAAACTTGCTAAGTGAGAATAAATGAGCCCATAGTATGCCATCAACAGTATCTCCAGATTCTCATTGTTCCTGAGGTTACGTCAAAAAGTCTCGAATCTTGAATGCATAGGAGCTAAGTTGGACCAGTTGGCTAGGCCTATTAAATTTAGTTTAATATCAGGATATTTCTCCTATTGATCCATATTCTTTTCTACAGAATTCGTACACATTGATATTGTTTTGTTATTAAAATGCCTGGTTAAGGGCGCGCTTTACCCCTGACGTGCAACCGAATGCAAGGGTTTGCAAGATTTCTGTTTTCACCTGCTACATTGAAGGTAGAATCAAAGTTAAGGTCTCATAAAAGAGGATGAAGTCTTCTATAGTTCTTTGTTTCTATATTTCAATTATTTTAAATAACACCTTATAAACTTGAGTTGTAGTACAAGAAAAAGGGTCTTTTCAACTAGCCTTAACTTATTAAAAACACGTTTTTTGAACATTTGAAAAACGCAGAACTATAGATTGGTCTTTGTACTACTATAAGCCGTTTAGAGTGTGTAGCTATCATTATTTGTTAATTCTAAAACAGTAATCTTGGAAACGTCTGCAAGCGCTTCTCGCAGCGCTGTACAATGGTGAAACATAGCTACTGAAGCCTGAGCTGAGATTTCCGAGCTGAGGTAAAGCGCACCCTTAATCACTTTTTTCAGCATCCACCCAGCTAAATTAAATGTAGTTCTTTTTATCTGTCTTATTTATTTTGTGCTTCAAGCAATTATGCAACATAACTTAGTTACATTTTTTATGATAGCTATGTTGTAGGTTTAATCATGCTTTCATCTACAAAAAGTTCCTTGCTGGTTTTTCCTTGGGTTAAATAGAGTCAGTTCCCCTTTTTGCTTAAAAATACAAAATGTTAGCTCTTAACTCCCACAAAGGTGCTAAGTACCAACTAAAACTCGTTAAAAAATCAAACTCCACTCAGGGGATTTGTCTACATATAGGCCTCTATATATATATATAATTATCTCACTGGGTTTATGTCATCAACAAGGTTGCCAACCAACTGCCGGTAACTTATTGCATTGTTTTAGTGATCAATGAGTTTAAGTCTTTGAAATAAATGAAAACTCTTTGTGTTTAAAAATACAAAATGTTAGCTCCTAATTCTCACATAGACACTAAACTTAAGTAGGCTACCAACTTAAGCTTGTAAAAAAAAATCAAACTTCATTTAGGTGTATCTCTCTACATAGCTCACTGGGTTTATGTTATCAATAAGGTTGCCAACTTAACAGCCGGTAACATACATTATTATAGTGATTAATGAGTTTTAGTCTTTGTAATAAATGTAAACTACCTATTAGCTTCCATGACATAGGCCTACCATTATGATTCATAATATCTTTTGGAGGTTTGTTGCATTAGAGAATCCACACCAATGGTTTAACAGTATGACATCAGCCGATAACGTCAAGGTGTTATGAGCAAACACTTAAACCGTGTACTATCACTAGCTAGATAATTGCAGACACTTCATTCCTTGCCTTTGTAGTTCAGTGTTAATGTAATAATCATGTATTTATACAATTACAATATTTTATATAATAGCCTAGTCATTTTAACAGTTTACTATTAGGCTAACTAATTACTGTAAAAATCAGTTTGGAAGTTTAACGATAATTTTGGAGTCTGAAATCATGCTAACCCTCACAGTGTTGCTATCAAGGTTAGGACAATACTATGTAAGTAGCGATGGTTTATCTTATCATGTATTGTAATGCGATTTTGAAAGAAGCTTTAAAATTAATTCTCATCATTACTAATTAAGCCTATAGCCTAGTTATTTTGTAAATCTTATCTATTATTATTCAGGCCTCAGTCACTTATCACAAAATATAAGTGTATTATTTATCTTCCAATGGTAACCTCCAAGTTGATACAATATGGATTATTAAGGTATTAAGTCATTTATGGTGTTTGAAGAGTTTGATAAATATTTGACAAATTTGGGAAACCACAATATACTATGTTTTGATAAATTCGATGGAACTTTATCGAGTCAGTATAAATGTAGTTTTCTCTCGTTATATTTAGGTAGGGTCCATTTGATCTAACTCCCGTTGTGTCTAGCTGAAGGACATGAATTTCAGTTTAAAATTTACATATACAGGGTGTTTCGAAACTTTCTCCTGAAATCCCGTGGGCATGTTCCTTAGGTCAAAAATCATACAAAGTAGAAACTTGATGCTTTGCAAAAAGTTAGTTCCTATTAGTCATCATACACGTACCAAGTTTGAAAATGGTAGCCTACCTCAAGTGGTTCCAAAGTTATGGGTAGTTATGTAACAAATACATACACTCCAACAGACGAAAAACGAAGCGAGATATGGCATATGTTTATAATATGATATTTTTTGTTTGTTTTTTAACATAAAGGAACATGACCATAGAGTTTTAGGGGAGATTTTCAAAACACCTGTATATGATACATGATGTCTCCATCTATAGTCCTTTGCCATAAGGAATTGGACAGGTCAGGGTTATTACAAAGAATAACCTAAGAAAACAAAAAACAAAAACTTTTACACCGTTAAGGTGACCTGTCTATGTCATGGAAGCTTGAATCCACTTTATTTACAAGCTACTTGAGTGGCTTAAAACATTTCTAAGAACAATTTTAAGTGGAAATATTAATTCTAAACATTAAAGCTATCTGTGTATGGCTTTTGTGATCACAGAGGTCGTCTCTTGGCCTATGAGGCTTGTTCTTTTTTTAACTCAATAGGTGAAAAGAAAAATAACTTAAGGTAGGCAAAAGTCATTGCCATCGGTGATTGGCAAAATTTTAACCCTGGCTTTTGGGCCAGAAGTCCTACATTCTGACCTAGACCAGCCTTAGGCTTAAATCCCTTATTGAAATTTCCCGTAATATTTTTGGGCTTGGTAAATGTTCTAATAACTTGGCAGATAAATGTTCTTATAGTTACTATTGCTTCTTAAGATACTGGTACCCGCATTTTAACATTAACTATTTTGAGATGAAAATCTCTGGTTCTGGTTGTAGTTTGAACAAATAACAGTATGACTCTCACAATAAGCCCTATACATACATGTGTAATATGCTCCTTAAAACGTGAATAGGCTAGCTCTTTCTATCCCATATGTGCTCATGAGGGCATGGGCGTCCATCTAACTTTTTCATAAGGGGGGCCAGGGGATCTGGGGTGGTACGGAATCACAGTAAAGAGGGGGTCCGGGAGGACGTACAAAGTGGTTCTCTTAACACATTTCGGTACCTAAATTTGCTTTGCCAATTTATTTTTCATCTACAGTTTTACTGCAAAATCTGAAAATGTGTGGTAAACATAGCACCCCTCTAGCCCATATTGATGGTCATTCATGTATGAGTAAAACCTTTATTCTTTTGCGAAAGATTACGGTAATTCATAAACCAACATTCAAAGATTTTTCATAATGAACACTTATCTTAAAAGATTTTTTCTGTTTCAGACATCCTCCTCAACCAAGACAACGAATATGACGACGTCAGCAGCCAAGCTATATGGGAAAGACATCGGTGAATACGATGACTTGGACGTCGATCAGTTGCTGTCACAACTTTCCCCGGAGGAAATCTCAATACTGGCCAAAGAAGTTGATCCTGATGTGAGTTGTAAGCTTGAAATTGGGCCTTATACACTGTGCGTGTATGTTGTCCTTAAGTTTCTATCTGAGATGAAGAAACTCTTAAAAACCTAGTTTGCGGTGTTACTATATTATTTACCTAAATAAAAAATATGGAAAAGTTTAAAAAAAGTTGGAAAAATAAATCGGACGTAGATTTTATATTAGAATCAGCCATAGAAAGCAGGAGGCAAGGAAACATTAGGCTTTCAAGGGGATTCTGTTCCATTTCACTTTGTTCAAGTTCAATCTATTTTATTCTTAGTTACGATTTTCAAGAATAATGCTGAATCTGATTGTGTCTTTGTCTTACCCTAGTCTAAACATTTAAATTTAATTTTGTTTTGAATGAAAAATAAATTATTTGATTGGAAAGTACCTGATATGTTGTAATATAAAAATAAATATTATAGACATTCATTTAAATATCCTAATGTTGCTGTAATATTACTTATAAAAAATAATAAATTAATAGAGACATGGTGTGGAATACCATATGTTATGAATATTATCACAGTTGCTATGAGTCACTTGTAATGCAAGACTGGCATAGTCTGTCAGCCATAACAGAATACAATCGTTTAATCAACTGTCAAGGTTTTCAGACATGACTCATTTCTAAGATAATAATGTCCCTCATTACTGGTACTGATATTGTTCACTAAATGTCCTCCATTTAGAGCTTGCTTGTAAAGTGTCATTGAATAACACCCCAAATTGTAACCGAACAATGGTAAGTTTTAAGTTTTAGAATTCCAGTTTGGGGGTTTTAAAGAGTTTTTGGGAGCTTGGAAACAGATAAAATGAAATAACTTGTGGTAATCAATCAAATTAATCGGATGGTCTTGTGATTTTAGCAATCCTATTTTCTCCTACTGTAAGTTGTATAGGAGTGATCCCTAACTTAAACTACTGAATTACTGAATACTAAATTATAATAATTTCACCATTCCCAAACTTCCTAAAACCCAGCTGATTTAAGTAATCTAGGTGACCCAGACAATCTGTAGGAAATTTTCAGTTACCGTACTTTCAAACTCCTCACTTATCTTTCCACCACTTCACTCACTAATATGTCTATGATTGCTATTTAATACACTCATATTTTTTAAAGATTTAACACCATTATGCTGTTTTCTTACAAATGAAATGAAATGAAATGAATTTATTTTTCCTTTGAGCATTGTACAAATGCAATGGGCATCGTCAACAAAAAAATACAATTGTCATTATGCAAAAACTTAACCTAAGAAAACCAAGCAAACACAGCACGCAAAAAAGGCTTATATACTCACATTTGCTCGAATGTCAGGTAGCTCAAGAATCTGACTCTTTGAAAAGAAAAAGTACAGAAACAAATACAGTTTGCATCTTACAAAGCACACCATGCAGACAAAACCATGCAGCTAACTACAAACCCAAATAAATAAAAAGCAAACTGCAAACATCACTCAAGTCTTAAAAAAACTACTTACAATATTACTTGGGATTTTATAAAACTCCTGGACTGAGAACAATGGGTGTGCCAGCAACAGGTTTCTCACACTTGTTTGGAAGGTTTTTTGGGACTGGTTCCGTGCCTCTGTTGGCAGGTGATTGAACAACTTTAATTAAACGTTCGTAAATGCGTTCTATACAAAGCATTGATACATCTATGAACATTCCATTGTTTTACTATCAAAGCACGGAACGGGCATAAAATGCCAATCAGTCAATTTACAAATTTTATATTTCATTTCATCAAAGACTTCTGGTGTCCAAATTTTAGATCCAGAAGAATTATTACAAAAGTTAGGAAACAATCTATTATGAAGCTAAAATTGAATCGAAGTAGATTTGTATTTTGATCAGTATCTTCTAATTGTTTACTCTATTATTATTACATTTAATGATATCATGAGGGTTAACAAAATCTGTTATTTTAGGACAACTTGTTGCCGCCATCACAAAGGTGCAGTTACGAGTGTGAGAAGGAACCTACAGGACCCTTAGACCGCAAGAAGCTAATTGAACACATCAACAAACAGGCATTAGAAACACCAGACATGCCTGAGCACAAACCCTTTGTTCCTGGCGTTATCCGTGGCAAAAAGGTATATTATGCAATACATATTTGAACCTGAATGAAAATACTTTGTCGTATTGATTTAGTTACAATTTTGCATACACTGTACTTTTAGTTGCTCGTTCCTTTTTGAAATATCCACGTAGGCCTAATATTTATTTTATTAGTCATAGTATTCGTTTTAAGTTTCTTTTTAAAAAGGATTTTTGTAGTTAACAGCTGTATGTGTATTAGTGACTAGGCTGATTTGAAAAACAAGCGTTAGATCACAATGGTAAACTTTTATTCTATGAACCTGTTGATTCTAAGTTACCCGTATACAATCAGACTTGGAATTAAATTTTTACCATTTTGGTCTGCTGCCAGTCTGGTATTTAATCCGTTCTTCGATTTTCCATTCCAAGTACCAACGTCTAATGGAACCTGATGGTAACCCTTTGGCCATACTAGCCTACGATTGATAGAGCATAATGAATCGCCCTCACACTCAAATCAACTATCTGCGTAGTTTTAACACTGTTGTGCCTGGTCTATAGATCATAAGTTGTTTGTTTATGGGTAAATTTATGTGTTGAAATGTGAATTGGGAGTATTGAGGTAATTAAATAATATGGTTTGTTATTTTAGTACACAGAAGAATGAATGATGCTTGGTGATAAATCCTATATTTGATAATTTTTTTTGTAGCCAACGCAACAGGAGGATTCCTGTATTACAGTGGGTTCCTAGTGGAGTTTCAGAATGTTGTTGTGTTTACAGTGGGTTCCTCCTCCTGAATCGTATCAAGCCCAGAGAGATGCAGATGAACAGATTGCCATAGACATGGGAGATGAATATGAGATGGCTCTCAGCAGTGCGTCGCAGGAGGAAATCATTGACCTGGCTGGTATGATCTTTAACCTGAATCTGTTTAAACAGCGGTTACATGATTATTTTTATAAAGGCTAAGTGGAGTAAGGAAGTCAAAGTCACAAACCCTTTGAATCAATTTCTTGCCACACAGTTTATCAGATGGTACAACTTGTACAGTTATGCATCACAAGGATTTTGATCACTAATACTTTGCACGACTATTTTTATTTAATAACACTATTGCAGTTGAAGGCCTACGTGATTTTGGTATGACTAGTACATTTTGATACTACAAGTACAATTTGATACTACTAGTTTGATCCAGTAAAACTAATCTAAATAGTTTTTGATCACCTATTGATAAAACTTGTTTGTTAGGGAATGATATATTAAATAATTTTCCAAGAAACATTTTCAAAATTATACTTGTTCATTGAGTGTTCACTGGACAGGATTACAACTTGCACCCCCTAAACAAGGTCCTGTCCTAATAATGGTTTTATTTATTTAAAATGTTTGGCAATTTCAATTTCAAAATTTGATGCTGAATACAATAATATCAAACATTAAACAGAGAGAGAGAGATGGATTAGAGATTTTTTATGCTGACTCACAAGGGTGTGTATTTTAAGGTGAAGAGGGGTAAAGTATAAGGGTTGAAAGTATAAGATCAGCTTTGTTACTCACTAAGATCAGCTGGATCATTTATTAAAAGCCCAATGATTTATCAAAAGCCCAATGATTTATCAAAAGCCCATTGATCCAGCTGGATACAGTTTTGGACCATTAATAAAAAAATAAAAAAACTTAATACATAGTAGTCTACAAAAATATTCATGAAACTTTAATAGGTAGACCGTCTACCTCAATTCATATTTTGATATACACAAACTAGGTAAGTTCACATACACAACTAGCTTGAGTTCATCACTCTTTGGGTTTATATACTGTTTTATCAATCGGTAGAAACATGTTGGTTGTTTTAAGCGAGTCATCTATTAGTGATATAACATGCACTGTGTCACAGAATCAATTAATCATTTATAATTTACATGTCACAGCTAACCGCTCTTCAAATGTAGTTTGCATACATCGGGGCGTTTTAGTAGTACCTAGGCCTAAATGATAGAAATATTTTTATTCAAGTTTTTACAGCAATATTTTCTAATGTATTTTCTTCTAATGATACAGCTTGTTCATTACATTACAATACTAAGAAGAACACCAAATTAGTGATGGTCGAATCCAGGAATTTCAAATCTCGAATTCTAAAAAAAATCGAATCTCGAATCTTCGAATTTTGAGTCCCAAAAAAGTTACAAATGGGCAAGAATTTAATAGGAATTATTTAAAAATAAATGTTACACTAACCATAAATGACACACTCTTTGCAATGAAAAGTTACTTAATGAATTTTGACACATGACAAAAATAATAGACGACTAATGGGTTACATCTTTTAAAACCTATTAACATAAATCGAACGGTCGGTCGGTATACTTTATTTGGACAGCAAATATTTATTATTGGTTATTTATGGTTGTTGTAGGTACACTTGTTAGTTTTAAATTTGTTGATCGATAGTATAGGCATACTCTGTTCATAAAATGTTAAATAACATATTAAATACTAAACATCAATTCAATCCACAGTTGATTGGGAATCATATTGTGTAACTGTGTAAATACTCGTGTCGTCTGTCTAGTGTCTAAGGCACAGTTCCACCATTGCTTGCTACACGAAAGCAGACAAATACTTATTGCGGGCGGTCAAGGTTAAGTAATAATTGTGGGCTGGCATGAACTACGCCGCTTGTCTGATTCAGAATGTAAATGAACAACAAAACATTGACCATCGTAACTTCCTTACAAATATGAGTTTTTAATGGAATTTTGAATTTCAAGAGTCGTTAGTAATATTTCATTTCCGAACTGGTATCGAATCGAGAAATTCTGTTATTAGCCTAATATCCCTATTTTTAAAATGCAATTAATATTTGAATAGGACGTAATTCAAGCCATAGCCTTGAGTTTAGAGACCGAGTTTGGCTTTGTTCCAGCTATGCGTAGATCGACACTGCTGCTACACGTTTTTATAGAGATTGCGGCGAATCGGTGTATTCTGTCAGCGGATCTCAAATCTCAAATTCGAATCTTTTCTTTGGATTCGAGATTCGGATTCAAAACATCCCTATTAATACAACAAAAGTCTGTTATTTTTTTGTTAAGAAAATTGAATTTTTACATTATTAAATTATTAAATTTAACACAATTGCAGATGATGATGATGATGTCCTCGTGATTGCGGGAGATGTTGGAGATGTTGCACAATCCCAGGAAGTTCCACTTATAGGGCTGGGGTCGCTTGGGTTAATTTGGCCTAGGGCCGCAGGTACCCTGAATACAGCACTGAATATTTGTACTTTTGGCTCACACTGCAATGATGTCATTGAATCATTTGACTTAGTTTTCAATTCTCTTATTTCCAATGTTGTCCCATATTGGAGTTTCTTAAACAATTACACCATCTATTTTGTTACTACCATCAAGTTAACTTTGTTGCCAATTTCTCAACATTGCAAAGATTGTTTCCTAGTTATCTCTCATATTAACTCTCCTGCTTGGTTACAGCTATCCTCGGCTTCCACTCCATGATGAACCAGGACCAGTACCACGCTTCTCTGCTCAACAAAGGTCAACCCGTGGGTCTAGGATGGGATGGCATCACCAAGGCTAGCCAACCCAAGGTGTTCCCTGCTGACCCACCCAACAGTACCGACCCGGAGCAGACCATCAAACAGGTCAAAGAAGATGACCACAAGCTCATTGATCTCAACTGGAATAACATCAAGGTACCCTATGTAGTCTTGGTCTTACCAGGATCAATTATGTTCTATTTACATAGTTTTATAATCGATCAACCAAATGCCAACCTTTCTCTGACCATGGGATCACCTCTCGGTATTACTTCATAGTCTCAACGTTTCAGTTTCTTCATTTTCCCGTTCATGATCTTGCAATCTGGCTTCCTATCAGGTTCCAACTGCTTGCCATCATAACTCTTACCAATGTCTAGTTCTATTTAATTTGATGACACTCTGTTGTAAATTTGCTGCATCAAAAGATTGCATGCTCGGCATCGTCTAGAAGCATGCTGCAGTTAAAGCAGTTTCCATCTTCTTACTTTTGCATCTTATTAAGGTACATCTGAAATGCCTCATGTGCTGTGAAAGCCTGAGTGAGTCAAAAGTTCATGCTTCCAAGATCTAGCCAGGACCTTTGGCTGTCTAACGATGAGTCATCGTCCTAATTGTTGTCCCATCTACTTTTCCACCTATCCGTGAGTATTGGGTGTGCCCTTCTTTTGAAATAATGGATGGAATTTCATAATCCAAATAGGAAATTACTTGAATGTTATGTTATGACTACGATCTGTATAATGTTTAGTTAACATGGAATTTCATAACGTGAATGGTATAATAGTTGACTCACGACTCATGTAGGTACTTAGTTCTGGTATCAGTGGGGTTTCAAATCATTGTGGGCTAGATAATCATGAACTTAATTTTCCTTTTTACACAAATTGTAGTAATTGTATTTGTGAAGCCTACCTTGATGTTTTTGTTTTTTTTTTGTTGCCTCGAGGGAATCTATTAACTTTTAGATTTTAAAATCAAACAACAAAGGAACAGTAAAAAATGCCAATGTAAGGATCGTCTAATAGATATTGTCTATTGCAGAACATCGCAGATGAGAAGTTTGAGCAACTGTTTGCAGCGTTGCCTGACAACACACACTTGGAGACTCTCAGTCTCACCAACGTAGGCCTCACTGATAGACTGGCTCTCAAACTGGCTGATGCTCTGGAGAAAAACAACACACTCAGAGTCATCAAGTGAGTTCTTGGTACTCTATCAAACATTAACTATTAACAGTCAAACGTTGATTAGGTACCAGACTGAGACTAGTAGTGACCTGCTTTTATGATAACACTCCTTAGAATTATAGCTTGAACATTAAGTAATATTGATAACAAGTTGTTTTCCATGAGATAATTGCATGTGATTGAATCATGCAAGATTGTTTATTAACTTGTGCATTAAATAATAGTGTTGATACGTGGTCTAAAACACTTCACAAATCTAACAAAACATTTAGCTATTCAGTTACCCTACTTCCCAAATACAAGAGTGGAAATAGCTCATTTGACTACTCTTGGAACTAATTTTCTTCTTAGACCGTGTACATACATTCAGTAAGCTAGACATAAATTGTTATCCTAGCTCAGGAATTGTGAAATTAATAAAAATTATAGTTTTTAATGTCGTATTAGTAGTATACATTTTAACACATGATAGTTGTGAACTAAAACTAATTTTTTAGAAAGCATGAATCTATTTTCTTCCTGCCAATGATGGGTCCATTCCAGAAATGTTTGATTCTCATCCCAATTCTTTGAAATCGATTCTCAATTCTCGATTCTGATTCTAATATGTTAAAAACGTTTAACACTGTCGTGTAGACATCAACATTGTCCCCTCAGTCATCATCGTCTTTCACAATTGCGGCAAAATCATGAACATCTCCCACGGTCACGGAAACTTCACTGTCGTCGTCTTGCGTGATCGCGGTAATACTGGTAATTTTCTGATCATGCGATCTCCACAGATGTGTGTCTGGTATTTGTATTACGGAAATGACTTTGAGGGGTTGATTCTCAAATCCGATTCCAAAGCCGAGAATATGTGGAATTGAGAATTAGTAACTTTATACATATTTTTCACCTATAAGTTATTCTTTAACAAGTATATTATAACCCTAGAACTGCTGATTGGTCATTTTATGGCCGATCAGGGTCCTTACGGTCACAGAATGACCCATCCACTATTTTACGTATATTCAAGCTCTCCCGCGGTTACAGTAACATTGTCATAGTTTTTCGCGATCGCGGCCAAATTATAAATATCTCGCACGGTTCAGTTGTATGGGCACCATCATCGTCTCACGCGGTCACGGAAACATCGTCATTGATTTTCACGCTCCTGTCAAAATTATAAATATATCCCACGGTGGTGTAGGCATGATTGCATCATTGTCTCCTGCGGTTACATGGTTGCAGAAACATCATTACCGTTTTTTGTGCTCGTGGCAAAATGATAAATTTATGCCCACGGTCGTGTTGACACCATTATCGTCTCGCGCTGTCACGGAAAATTATGATTCTACTTTGCGATTGTGGTGAAAGCATACATTTTCATGGCTCAGCGTATTTTCCTTAAAAGACTCTGAATTTCAGTAAAAGTCCAACTATATACATTTTTGATCATCTTAATGGGGTCCGGTCCCAATTGATTCGGATAATTGGAGTTGTACTGTAGTATACAAGTTGGGACGCCGTCATGGTTCTTAATTCACCTATTGGGTTGGGGTTGGGGTGATGGTTGGAGTGTCCAACCGAAATCGATCACCACTTACCATATTTTATATATATTTACCATCTTGTGAGTCAACAGAATAAGTGTAAATATATTATTACAAGGGTTATTAGACCTTTTTTGTATTTTCAGGTAATTTAATAACATGTACAATGCTTATCAAGAGAAGTTACCAAAAAAATATATAATAACTCTGTCCAATTTAAAATTTCAATATGGGGGCCATTGTAATTTTTATAATTATTTAAATTTTAATTATCAAAATTATTTAAATTACTGGCTGATTTAAGATAAAATCTCAGGAACACTGTTATGTGGTATCTAACATTTCCTATCAAACGCCAAATTAAAATAGATCAAAAAAAGAAAAATAGTTTTAGAAAGAAACAATTTTTAGTTGCAAAATGAGGTGCAACCTGCATAGCTTCAATCTCAATTTTTAATTTTAATTTTTGATAATTTGTTTTATTTTCAGTCTTGAAACCAACTTCGTTAGCCCCAATGTGATTGTTCGCTTGGTAAAGTCCTTGCTCAAACAACAATCAATTGAAGAGTTCAGAGCCTCAAACCAGGTAAGCTTTATTAAAATATATGACAAAAGAGTATGTAGACATTTCACATAAAGTCTTGACAATTTGTCTACAGTGTGATATTATTTCATATGTAGTGGCATAGTGCCTAGATATTTTTTTAGGCTTGAACCTAAAAATATTGAATATAAATATAGAGTTGTTAATTACATGGAGCATGAAATGTGTTTAGGTTGTTTACATTGGAGAAAGAGTTTAATGTTTAATTCTGGCTTGTTTCCACAACCCATTAAATTTCTTTCTCAACCCAATAGTAGGTTACGACTTGTAGCAAGGAACTGCAGATATAATTAAAATCCATGTGTGTAGCCCCTGAGCTGTTGGACTTAATATAAGACTAAATTTTTTACGTAATCCCGCCACAGCTCAATCAAATAATTGTATTGAGCTGTGATGGTATTACGTAAGCAATTTAGTCTTACACTGCAGATATAGATTATTTAGCGCTTGATAAAATAAGGGATTCTCCATTTACTTAAAAAATCTTAGATATTTTCATTATAATTTTATTGCATTTTTATTATTTTTCAACATGACAAAAAATTAATTATTGTGACTGTGACTGTCTTTTAAAGAATCTATTGACATATCTACCACAATGTATTAACATTGATGATGTGGTTGCATACTAATGACCTGACACAGTTCTAAGGAACAAAAGTAGTCGTCATACTAACAACTGTGGTTGGATAAGGGAGTTATTTTACTTTATCAATGAGGAAACCCCTAAAAAAGTTGTTTTTCACATATAAAAAGTTAGAGGAGAAAAAAGTTAGTTAGGATCTATTTTCACCTCAGCATCCTCCTCATTTCCAGTGTATTGAGCACTTGGATGTGTTCACTGCCACTCTCATCACCAACAATTACGTATCATGGGAATTTGTAATATCACCTTCACCTTTGGCAAACTGATCTCCTTTATTGACATAGTGTCTTGCATTGTTACTTCTATCCAGCCAATTTCAATCCATTACGAAAAAAAATTAACAGGGAAGGTTTGGAAAAAGCTGACACATAATGTCTTTCCGTGACATATTAGACTAGACCCTTATTAGACAAGGAACATGGAACATTAGTTTCTAGGCGGGGACAAGTCAATAGTTGGCAACTTTCCCCAGACCTGAGTATTGATTGTGCACCAAGACGTGAAAGATTGAAGTCATGGCAATGAATGAAACTCCACCCCAAAACATTTCTGATTGTCTGTACTCACACTAAGATAATATAAGCGATTCAGTTGCACTCATCAACCAGTTTTTTGTTTGATTTACTCCCATTGAGGTACAAGTCTTCTAACAAGAATTATAGTTATTTTTATGTTAAAACTATTTACAGACCTACTAAAAATAAACCAACCAATGATATCTACATCATAATATATACAATTTCAGAGATCAACGGTGCTGGGTAATAAGATAGAGATGGAGATTACAAACCTGGTGGAGCAGAACCAGACTTTGTTGAGGCTAGGACTCCATCTCGAGTACAATGATGCTAGGCATCGCATCGCTTCACATCTACAACGCAACATTGATAGGAGTAAGTATCTGCTTTGTATGATTACTCATCTATCTGTCATGTAATATAATTCTTTTTTACAAGTAATGATATATATCAAGATGAAAAACAACTTACTTGTCATTTATCTTCATTGAACCGCTTTTTAAGTTAAACTGTGGTAACCACTGGAAACTTTGGTAAATGAAATATACAAATGACTGCCATCATATGCATGCAAGTTGTTTTTCATTGTAGATATTTTCATCTGGTTTAGGTCAAGTGTTGCTGTACCCTCAAGAAAAAAGAATTTCACGCTCCATGGATGTCACAAAAACTCTAAACTTATTATGTTTGTTTATCTTTTTACAGCAAATTTGAAATATTTCTCCACTATTACCCTGACTTCTATCTTTTCTTGAAATAAAACTATAATTGTCTTCACTTAAGCTTTTATCATTTTAGCCTTTCACAGATAAAACAACATAGTTCTCAATATTTATTTTGTTGCCTAACCGATTTCAGATGTCTCCTAGATATTAAACACATATTAGCGAGTGGTGACAAATAATCTTATTTCTATTTCAGCTGTAGTTTTTAAGTCAAAGTCATCGTCAGTTAAAATAGAGGTACCATCCAATGCTAGGTTGAGGTAACTATACACAAGGTTATGCATTTTCCCCTCGTATTATCTGTACTGTACACAAGTAGATCTCCTTCCCTATTGTTTGGAGTTATACATAGACTCTCCTTTATGTAAAAAATATATCCTGAAGTGTAGGTAAAGATATTGAGGATTAGACTAAATGTTATCATGCTATGCTTCACCATGGAAGTAACGAGTAATTTTGTACTCAGATAGTGATTTACAAATCCATAAAATGTCAAATTATAGTCTGATTACATTATGTAAACTACTTCAACGAAGTAGTTTACTGACTTAATTTTCATACCCCATTTTTATGTACCATCCTCAAGATTCCCGTCTACTGTTTTAGTTAGGTAAAGTATATTATGTTGCCACCATGTGTTGTTCTGAGCTGCTTTCAGTGGTGTCTCACGTTCAAGTTTTGGTTTTCTAAACCTGTTATTTACAGAGAGAGAGGAGTAGTCCACGCCTCCTCCCTCCTACCTCCTCATGCCTCTCCTCTTTTTCCCTTGGTTTTCGCGCTTATAGAGCATGGCTGCATTCGTCTTCAGTAGATGTAGATGTCAACGTCTAGTTGTCCTGTTTTGAGTCAGCTAATTTTCAACATTTTTCTAACAGTTTTTATCCTCTCCTTTAAATCCTATTCCCCAAAGTGATAATATAAAAATAAACTCTATTTTATTATAATGAATAATTTTAACTAATATTTGTCTTATTGAAATAGTAAACTAGTACTTTTCATAAAAAATAGTCATTTAACCTCTAGAAATGTAATTAAAAATATGTGTTTAGAAATTTAGAAAATACTTGTTGTTAAATGTTTAAAGTGGTTCAAAGCCCTGATAAATGATAGTTGCTTCAATGTTTAGTTGAGTAGAAACTACTTTTATAAAGTAAGAAAAGTTAATAGTAGGTAAATATTAAACTAACAAAATTAATTCTGTGGATATTTCAAAGTTAAATTATACTACTTTATGGTTGTCAACAACAATCTCTAATCTATGTTACTAGTGGTAAATTTGCTTGGAAATTCTCATCTTTTCAGAGCTTTTTAGTGTCTAAATGAGCTTTCATGATTATTTTGTTTCAAATTTTTAGCTTTGTTTCCATTTCAATTGAGGGCAGTTTTTATTAGGCCTATTCTAAACCAGTTAAAATAAAGTAATAAAATTAAAACTGTAAAATGTTATCAGTCTTAATCCAACATTGATTTCTTATGATGTAAATATTCTAATAATACAATAGATGAAATATTGGTATATAAATATCAGTCAAGTTAATGAAACCTCTCTGACCCAAATTCCTTGAAAATTTGAACCAAATAATGCTTTGCTTGCTTTCATCTACAACAAAATAAAAGTGAAAGCTAAAATGTCATAAACTAAATAAACATAACCATAGTTGTAATAACTGCTAAGCTGTATTCCCGCCCGTTCCCTTTAGAGTATCGGCTGAAAATAGTGGTGCCTAAAAGAGGAAGCACCAGCACAGAGGCGAGTTTTAGCCTGACGAGACGTAAGGACGGCTCAGTACGCATCATGGGGCGCGAGTGACCGATGACCAAGACGTCAGTGAGTGAACACAATTGTTGCGACACACTCTACAGGACAGAAGCCTAACTCAGTACAAGACTAAGGCAGACATTTTACAACAACGGACTTTACCAGCATTGCTCATTGCTCGTTGTTTGGACATTATCTTTGCTCGTTTGTGCTGCATAATATTTTGCCTCTTTATTTCTTCCTTTGAACCTATCCTCTACCCTGACAGTTGTTTGTCCGGACAAGTGTAATATTTACATTTGTTTAAATTATGTAAATTTAATCTTTTTATAAAGTTTTATATCTTTTGAGACCATTCTAAAGCATATTTTAGAAAAACTTAAAGTACCCTACATGAAAATTTTTAAAAAGTGTTTTGAGTACTCCAAAACAATTGTTTTGTAACTAGAGGTGGATTTTTCTAAATTTCAAATGTCTGCTTTAGCGTAGTAGTGAGAGATTGCAAACCTGTGTATATTGTTGTTTAAGTGTTAGGATGATAGATTTGTGGTAGCAATAATTTAGTACCCACCTATCCTAGCAGCCCAAACTCAGTGCTACCAGTGCTTTTTAATTCTTTGCATTTCTTTCTGTAGAAATCCCAATGCTTTCTGTCACAGTTGTCTTATTTGTTGCCAAATCTCGCCCATTATAACCGTACAAGAATTTTACACAATTTCTCATTATTTGCTACTTACTCCCTGGAGCAATTAAACTACAAAAAAATATTTTCAGTAGTATTGAGCCAATTTATATACACTAAAACAATTAACTTCAATAATAATGCCACCTTTGATATTTTAAAAATAAATTCAAAAAGATATGTTAAAGATTTTTAACCATAAAATTGTTTATATAAACAGTAAATTTTTGTAAATTTGCAGATATTTTGGCAAATAGGCCATCTCAATCCCAAGGAGATCTGACAATACTTCTAAATAGTCACACTGTTGTTCAGTTAGCCATAAAGTAAAAGAAACAATCAAAACCTGTAGTTTGTCGGTAAAATATAATGAAATTTTTTTTGTTTATATACATATTTTTTTATAGTTTGAATTTATAGTTTTTTTAATGTAAATTATTTTTTACATCTGATGAATTTTTAGAATAAAAGGGCTAGCTGTTATCCCTTTTATTCTACATTTCAAAAATCTGGTGTAGAGCCTTTATTTAAACAAAACTTCAACAAGAAACTATTCTTGGTGCTGCATCAAATGATTTCATGTAAATAACAGAAAAAAATATTTGATATCCAAGAACCTGCCACAAACAACCAAGACACATGACAAAAATATAAATCAGCTAAAATCAAAAATCAAATAAAATTGTTTAAATCTGCTCATACCACGCATTAAACTTGTATATAATTAAACATTCAGGGTGGATCCTTTTGCTTGGTAAAACAGATAATACCTATTTTAATCATAATATCGAACAACACAGATTGAATAAAAAATAACTGAAATACTGTATCATGATAATACACTAAAATTAATACAAATTTAAAGGAAACCCCAATAAATAAGAGTCTTTTAAATTATAATTTCTCTATTGAAAGGATAAAACAAGTTAACCAATAAATCATAAATATTTATAAATCATATGTAGGTAATAATAGGTTTATTGAAGAATAAGTCATCAATTGACAATGTGTTTGAGTCTTTTGTGGCATCAGAAAAGACAACATGACAGGGGTTAGTTGCAATCAGGCGAGTTTGTGAGATGTTTGTGTTTTGTGACAGTACGCAAGGACTTTACGCTGCGACTGCAGTTTAGGTTCTTTAACCATCTCAACAGGAAAACGATGTTCAATTAGGCAGGTACCGTGATCGCGTTGTCTTCTATCTCTCTCTAAGCTGCTTCTAAATTAATAGGCTTAAACTGTAACTGCTTTTCTAATTCGCTTTACTACGAATACTTTTACTGGTAAAAACTTTCAATTTTGTATTCGACATAATGAACAAATTTTTTTTTAAATCCCAATTTTTGGGGTTTTCTTAAAATGTTCAACACATCTGAATGTCGTTTTTTTATTGTTTGTAAATATTTTTTTAAGTATTAAAGGGAAACTAATCAGTACCAATTTTAATTGAAGTTTTATTTTATTTAACCTGATTTTAACTGGAAATTTAATCAGTATACCTAATATGCTTATGAATATATTTTTAAAATATCTTTTTCTGCATTCAATAATTTCAATATCATTTACCCTATTGATTTTTTGTTCTTGTCAAAGAAATAACTAAGGCAATGAAACTCGTTATAATATCAATGCCATTTACATTGTAATGTATAGATGAAATACAGTACTAACGATTACGAAATGCTTGGAAATGGCTTTATCTTCATCTTACTGCGTTATACTTAATTGTGTTTATTCATCTGTGTGCATACAATTAACAGTGTTATATTTTAACATTATAGATGTTTGTTGTACTAATACTGTATTGACTTTGTTTTGTTTCAGTAGCCCACTAACACTTCAGTTGTCTTTACAGTGCATATTATGAAATTGAATCTTTATACTTTTGTAGTTACTACATGATAGTTTTAAAACCCCAAGAAATTCATTCTGTAATTTAATTATTTTTAGTATGTATTGCCGTGTTTTAATCATATTATGATTTATTAATAATAAATTTCATCTTTAGGGTCTAAAGTGGGAAGCTCTAGTTTAATGACAATGCAAAGGTTGAAAAATGAGCAAGGGTCAGAAATACACTTTCGGTGTGTGTGATGAACTATATTTTTTGTCATCCTGCATTATTCTGTAGTCTAAATAATTCACAAAATGTAAATTGAGTACATAGTTTACCTCTATTGATTAGCTTCAAAATAGTTTCTTGTTTTGTCTTGTATATTCAAACAGATGCTAATGCTATTTAGATGAATATTTATTACCCCGCCAACGCAGTAATTCATTCATATTTAATTATTGTAATTTGTTTTGGTATCAATTTGTAAAAATTTTAAAATGGAATTATATATTTATGTGAAAGATACGATAAGATAGGACAATAAACAGAAGCCAAACTTAATAACGATACAAAGATAATTTTTTTATTAGGGACTAGTATTTTTAAGCAGAAGAATTTTAAAGCTATAAAAATGTACGGCTGATCCTCAACTCCGGATGATTCCTTTTCCTCCTAGGAAATTTAAAACAGCTCAATGTTCTTGCTGCAGTATGACAGAAAATATATAGCAATTATTAATTAGGTTCCTTTAAGACTCTTAAATTCAAAAATGGGATTTAGATGCTCAAACAAATTGATCTCGTAGTTTACAAATAAAAATAAACAGCTTATTTCCCTTCTGTGACGATTTTATTCATTGTGTTATTTCTTGTGGTTTGTTTACTGTACTAATCTATTAATGTGTTGGTAGTGAAGATTCGCGGTCCACACACAACTCACCACCCCCACACTACGTCACGGTCACGGTACACATTTTCAACGATCTCACTTGGCATGATTCTTTCAAAACAACTTCTTCGCCTTATTTAACAAATAATTTTATTTAGCTGGCAAATTTCCAACAAAGCGAACTGAGTATAGCATGTAAGAAGTAATGTGAGGTGCGTTAACGCTGCTTCGCTACTTACATGTCACATCCCCACCCTATGAGATTGGTCGTTCGATCGTTCCAGTTTGTGTGGGCCACGGATCTACACCGCATGTCAAAGATTTTTAGAACAAATCTCTTTTGATGAGGATTTTTGATGAATAATAATGTGTTTTGTCTTTTTTCAGCAAGTTGCATGTTTTGCAGTTTTCTCCCTTTGTCTTTTCTCAAGTGCTGCCAACTTGAATATTAAAGTAACCTATTTCCTATTTCTTTCAACCGACAAAAATGTTTTTGATCAACCAATTAGATTGTACATATTAGATTTATTAAGTTGGCAGTACTTGTTGTTGTGTTTGTTGGTAGCACTGATTGTTTTGGTCTGTGTTTGCAGTACGCCGTCAGAGTCGGAAGGAAACATCCACGTCCTAGGCTAGGTCCAATAGGTACTCCTCATTTTCATGAATTTTATTTTTACTCTCCTAGCTTCTTGAGTTTAACGCTTATTTCTGCTTTCTAAATGCACTTGTGATTCATGGTGCCAGGTATTTGTGCTGTTTTTAACACTTCAAACTATGTTATGTTATAATGTGTTCATTAAGTATAAGCCTTATAATAGTGCTAAGTTAAAATGTAATTATTATGATTTTTGTCGAAACTAAATTCATGATAATATATGTATTTTGAATGGTATTTTAAACCAAGTTAATTACATTGAATAAAACATAATCTTTGTGGCTTGAGGTTTGGTAATTAGTTTAGTATCAAATGTTTAGTTAATTTAAAAAGAGCATAGTTAATTTCATTCAAACCACACAATATGTTACTAATTATGGTGATTTAATTATTGTTTTATTGCTTGCTTGTTAGTTAGTCAAAATACTTAGATTTTTAATCTATTGAATTACTGTATGACTTTCATAAACGAAATATAAACCAAATTTTCATTCTTAAAGTGTTCTATTTATTTATATTAAAAATATTTTTATAAATTAAAGCCTTTATAGGTAATTGAAAGATTACCATTTGAAGCTCCATAAAAGGTGTATCAAATTTACTTTGGCAATTCAAAGGATTGTTCCATTGTTTGCAAATTTATACTATGCAATGTCATTGATTTTCATTGGCGAATTTATGTAACAAACACTTCTTTGATATATATATATATATATATACACATACACTTATATTATGTAATAATCTACCAACAGTTAGATATTTGACTTTAGTAGTCAAGTTGATATTAGTTTGCTTTCATACAAAAAAGACAAATTAAATGTTGATTAACTGCAAAAATCACAAATATTCTTCTTTGCGACCTTTTGAAGAGATAAGTGAAAATTGAGCAAGACACAGTAGCTTATCAATGTTACATTTTGATATTATTAGTGAATAAAAATGATATAGTACGCAGAAACTTTCTTTTTGTCAGCTTTTGTTGTTAAATATTATGTAATGCTACAGTTTAATAATTATAACATCAGCTGATTTATTTAAATAAGACAACTCCCTTATAATAAGGGAAATTTGAAGTAAGCACTGCTAGTAGATGGTAATGTTACCAACAAATATACTTCTAGAGAGCAAGAGCTTAATTCAACAGAAAATACATTTACGCCACACTACATTATTTTTCACTTTATTATTCTCTTAGAGGTTGACTAGTGATTTTTAGTCATTTATATGGTGGAAATATATAAGTATTTGTACAGATTTAGTAGTATAGCGTAAACTATCGTACGTAACTTGTCCAAAATGTGTGTACCGGACTTGTATGGTAATCCCGTACTCGACTTCGGCTCACACGGGAACAACCACACTCATCCGGTAAACACTTATTTTCTGGACTAGTAACGTAATATACTATTGTGTGGTTATGGTTAAATTTAAAGTTGAACGGAAAAAAACAAATAATGTTTTAAATAATACATGGGATGGAACAAAGCTAGTGTTTAAAAACATTATGTGTTAATCTATTAGGTTTTGGTGACAAAATGGCACCAATTTAGGTTTCCATGGCCTTACAGGTAGGGAATAGCAGACAAATTAAAAATTGTTTTTAAATATTTGTATTTGCTTACATTAAATTTCCATAAGTGCACTAAACATTGTTTTGATTTCAAATTTATTGTAATTTTCAGAATCTTCATTAAATTTCCAAGAGTTTAAGTCTTAAGAGTCATTGTACATAGTCATTAAAATAACATCTATGTAAGCTCTTATTCTGCAATGAAAGTTTGAATTTGTGATTTTTGAGAAACAACTTAATAACTTTTCCAAAGTTTTTCTATACGACACTGGACTGTAGAAATTGTCAAATATTACTAAAAAACTTTTCCAGTTAAAAACCTTTAATTAAACTTAAAAATTCAAATAATCATAATCCTATTTCTGTTAACAATTTATTTATATAACTGTAAAAATATTATGTGAGGTAGGTCAATTGCTTTGTTGGTTACATAATCGTTCACACAAAAACGTAAACAATTTTTGTGGGTCAAAAAGTCATATAGCCTATATGAGAATTTAAAAAATTTCCAAGAAAATCACCACTGAACTCGAATTATTTTTAGGATCAGTTTATTGATATGCATGTCCTTACCAAGTTTACTACATAAACTATTATAATAATTTATTGAGTAGCTTATCCAAGGAAATACTCAAAATACTATCTGAAGTAACTAGATAATCTCTTCATCCTCTTTGCGTGTAATTTCTCTAGTTATTGCTGACATTTGCTTCCTTTTTGTTCTGTCCTGTGTCTTGACTACCGCATGCTTTCTTAGTAAGGACTTGTAATTAACGCTTGGCTTCTTCCTTGGCTGTCATCCTCATCCGTTACTCTTGACTATCAGGTAGGCCTTAGGCTTTAGGCTGTTCAACTCTTTCTGCTCTTTGTCCTTCAATTATTATGAATAATGTCATATTGAAAAACAATGATTCTATACTTTAAATTTGTGCAACCGATCCAAGTAATAAAATAAATACTTCAAATGTTATACTCAATTTTACTTTTTATGATGTTAAGTGCCATAAAGGTTGCACTTTCAAGTTTGAACAAGTATGTATCAATTGTCCAAATATACTTTCCTATCTTACAATTTAGTGTAATTGGTTTGGAAAAAGGACTGAGCACAAGGAGTGGAAAGGGTTAAGGATGTACTGGACATTATTTCATTCAAACGAGCTGCTAAGTAAATAAGTTCTGCTTGTTCTTACTATCTAGGGTAAACTACTCGATGGTACATTGGTTTACGCTTATGATTTGTCATTTGGTAGCTTGCAAAACTGTTTGATATTTTACAGACTGAAGTGGAGCATTAACAGGTATGGCTACAGTTGTATGTGTCAGCATGTTTGGGAAACATCTTGGGAAGCACATCACACAGTCCATCAAATATATTATTTCTGCACTCTATGCTTTGAGATTAATGATTAAGTTAAGGTTTTAAAATGTATGTGTACAGTAGACTCCTGATTATCCACTAGTAGATTAAGAGTTCTTGGAGCTCAGATGTACTAACTCATCAAACAGTAAAAAAACTACAAATCTCACAGTGCACTAGATATTTACATTACAATCACTTTGGTATTTGAAAAAATATTTTGGTATGGTAAATAAATAAACTCTAAAGCGGCTGTTTGAAATTGACAAAATTAACATTGCTCTTATGGCGGACAAACCCAAGATGGTCGTTAGCTTCCATGGACTCCCTTGGAAAACAATTCTAAACTACATCGAAAATTTCTTATCTCACAGTGTCCTAGATATTTAAATTCCAAGATGGTTGCTAGCCTCCATGGACGTTTAACCACTTTTGCAAAAAATAAAAATAAATTTAGTACACAAGTTGAATGTGCATTTCACATTTTTATGTTTAATTACGAACAAGATTTTTAGCCCATCATCGCAGTTGAAATAGAGTTGCCCTTTTTTACTGCATTGAACACAGATGAATTTATAAATTACATTTTGTGTGTATTTAAATCTTTGTTATTACTACTGTTATTACATAGGAAGATCCCATATATTTTCTTTTGTTAATGGTCGTTTAAGTGAAACAATGCTTCAATGTAGCTACACTGCATTATTTAGAACATTGTATTGTTAGCTAAACCTGTGTTGAAGCTTAATTATGCATTAAAATCATTGTTCTTTATTTCCGGGGCATTTTAGGTTATGTTTGCATTATCCACAAATTTGATTATCCACAATCACTCAGCTACTCACTATCGTGGATAATTGGGAGTTTATTGTAAGTGCTAATAAAGTTGTTTACTTTTTACCATATGTTTATAAAACTAACTATGATTATTCAATGTGCATTAGTGGCAATCAAAATACCCATCAAACAGTTAATTGTATCTCTTAAATAAATTAATGCTGTTGGATTTTGAATCACATGTTTTTCTGATGACCAAATAAATATTCTTCGGTCCTAAGAATATCATTTAATCATTCTGTGCTCAACTGGAGGATTATTACCTTGTCTTGAGCCTAACCACATGGATGGATTAGATTAATTTTAGTTTACTATTCCTTTTTCTTTAATTTGATTGTTGATCTGAAACAAGACACTAAAATACCAATAACATTGTGTAAACGAATTCAAGATTTGTGTGTAAATTTAGTCGTGTATTGTAACCACTAGATAAATTAAACTATAGTTTCAAGTTGATTAAGACATCTCCCAATATACTAACTATTTTATAGTAAATTATTTAAATTTGAATACACTACTACAATATACTCATATTTAAATATCTGCCCTGATTTAAAAATAAATATGTATGCAACACAACTATAGTACAAATTTTAAAACCAGGTTTTATATAATTTTAACGACAATAGGGTTTTCACATTGCTCGTTTGTTGCTAATTAAAATATAAGTGTCATGTTTTTTTATACTTATTTTATTTGCATTTTTAAATTTCACTCTCAATAATGCAATAATTACTAACATTCTAATTATGTAAGACCGTTAATCAATATATCTAATCTTAAATTACTTCTGTTAGCAGGTCGTTTGCGTCGGCTTGGTCACTTTTCTCGCAACTCGTTCTGCGGGTATTTCTCACGCTGAACTCGTCTTCATCGCCCTTCGTAGTCGCCATTTAGCTTTGCTACAAGTGTTTTTTTTTTACTGCCAGTCCTCCCAATCTGAACATCTCCTTGTTTGGCTTTTGTAGTTAGAGATGAGGTCTCGCCTCGGGTGTATTTATTTAATCTAAGGTTTTATTCACTAACAATCGGAACAAATTCAAATTTAATTGTTATTAAATTTCGAGTCTACCTTAATTTGTCTCTTTCATTTGCTTTTAGTTTGGTTCGATTAAACGACCATTATTGGTGTTTAAATCCTTTTTTGGGTTAGTATATTGCTTGTCGTAACGTTACACAAGGGGGTGCTTTAGTATGAGATTGCCCGCTGCCGAGTCGATGTGAACGCCTATGTTGGTGAAAGCCAGTGTTCTCTGCTCTACGAACATTCTAATAATCAAAACATTTATGCATCGGAATACCTAATTCTAGGTGTTTCTGTCAGTTTAAAATATTTTGACATTGTATATTCATATTGTATATTATAAGAGTATTTGTAAGTATATTTCATTTCTGTGACATTTATTTATAGTTGAGTCATTTAGGTTAAATTCATTGTGATGGTTTAATACCCATGTTACGATGTAGATTATTTTTCGATACGGAAGAAAGATTTATTGCTTGAAAAATCACTGTTAATTTGTATAAATGAGTTGTACCAGTTGTACGAGATAAAAATTGTATTATAGTTTATTTTATCAAATAGTTTCTTCATTTTTTATCTATTTAATATGCAATCCATAATGCGAATTTATTGTACATTGAGTTTCGATGATATCTTTTTTACAGCGTAAACCTTTGCTAAGGCACGTCAGTAGATGCACATCTTTGTACTAGGGCATAAAGTTCACTTATTATGTTAAATATATAGTCATGTCTTACCATCTTGTTCTTTCATTCCCGTGTCATTTACAGTTATAATTCATTGCCTTTCTCAATTGAAACATGAGAAAAATGTATACATCTACAGTACCTATAAAATTATTAAAAAATTTGTTAGTCCTTTTGATAAAAGTTAGAAAGTGAGCATTGAAACTTATCCTACAAGCAACCCATGCCTTATAATTTATTTAAATGTGTATTGCTTGGTTTATTTTGATTGGTGGTCGATAGCTACTCGTACTACTATGATTAACTTTTCCTTTTTTATAAAATTGAACAAAAGTACTATATCTTAAATTAATATTGGGAAAATCCTTGCTGCAGACATAGATTGTAAGAGAGGCTGAAAGACTGTAGGCTACAGATCAACAACTTATGAAATAGCTTGTCATACATTCTAAAGCTGTTTTTACGGGTCAGTTGGTTTGATCCTGAATGGATGAAATCTTTTTAATGGAACCAATGCTCGCAATAATTGGGCTTTTGATAAATGATCCTAGCTAAAAAAGAAACAAAGCTCTCTCTCATTATTCAACTTATCTTTACCTTAAAATAAGGACACACCCTGGAGTGTTGGTGTCATAGAAATTGAATAATTAAATTAGAAAGTTAAAATACCTCATTTTCCCCTTGTGGTCCAAGTTTGTCCTACTGGATTATGCACATTTCGGCGCTAATTTTTATTTTTATTTATTTATTATCAATCATCACATTACATCAAATTAATTGACAGGTGATTTGTCCATAAGTCTTAATTATTACTTAAAGTAGACTAAAATTAAAAATGAGAAAATTAAAATCTATTTTTACTCTGATAAGAATTCATCAACACTGTAAAAAGCCTTCTCCAATAACCATTTTTTCAAAGTTTTTTAAAGGAAAAAATCAGACTGTGTGTTTTTAATGAATGTGGGTAATTTGTGGTGTGGTCCCATATATTGAGGGGAGAGGTGGAACAATTGAAGCCTATGTTGAACCGGTTTGATTAAATTTTTAAATCTCGTGTTATGAGAATGGTTTTGTTGGCTTTCCATGAATAATCCTACATCACCCTTCACCATTAAAGCGAGTTGATAAATATATGAACTGTATAAGGTTACAATTTTAAATAATATGAAAAAGTCTTTACAGTGTGCAGTCTTAGGAACTCTTGCGATCAGTCTGATAGCTCTTTTTTGAAGAGTAAATATTTTTTTAGCCCGACAGGAAGATCCCCAAACAATTAATCCATAGTTCATAATAGAAGAAAAATAAGCGTGATATGTCATTAATTGTGTTTCTAAATTTGTGGTATATCTAATTACACGAATAACAAATGTGGCAGAGACTACTGTCGGGGAAATAAATATGTGCACTCGAGTTTGAGCCTAAATATCTCTGAGATGAATTATCCGATTTTGTTGAAACAAAAATTAAATGTAAGCTTGTTTAAATACATTTTACGTGGTAACAATTTAAAAATTTTCCGTTTACCAGAAAAATTTATATAGTTGAAAGATCCTAAAAAGTACCGGTTTTTAAGGAACTCTGCACTAACACTGAACTTTAAAAATTAATTGTAAACAAACCACTGAGCCAATCTTTCTGAAATTTGTATGGCTTATTGGTAGGTTTATTGTTAACATTTCCATGCATTTTAAAATTTTTACTCACAATAGTTTTTATGCTGCTGTTAATTTTTAAAACCTATGCTAACATCGTTAATAAGACACTAAAAATTTCGTTCAAAATACCATCGTGTTTGTCGTGACACAAGAAACAACACAAATATGATAGATTTATAATGCGTACAAAGGTGTTTTTTAAACAGATTTATATTTGTAAACAAAAATTTCTCCCGCGACTGGCAGCGGGCCGCCTGGTGTGTGTACGATATTTCCCAGCCGGGCGGGAGCGCGGCGAATCTGCGACGTTGCCGATGTGTACCTGGCCAGTGGCCACCACACTGACATTGCATCAGTAGCCTATTCACTCACGGCAAACAACTTTGAAAATCAATATTTAGCTTCTGCCTTAATTTTTCGATCGTTGGAAACATTTTTTGCACGTAAAAATCATATAAGTACCTTCGTATCGCTCCCACGGTAAATTGGTCCACATTTATCCTTGTTCGGATGTTAAAACAATTGGCCACATGATCATACACGGGATAACGTTTGTCACCGCACTTTTCTTTTTCCGCATGAAAGAAACAAATCGCACTAACTATCATCTGTATTTCACCATCGAAAACATTCCGGCGAGGAGCCATTTTCGAATAGATGTTACCGACCGGTGTAAAAATCTAAGACGAACTGGTTAGCTTGGTTAGTCATCTCTCATAGCGACCATAGTTCAAGAAAGGTGGGAGCTAATGTTTACATTCCATTACTCATCGGATATTCCAGCTTAACGCAACACTTCCCGGAAAGGGTGATGACCGCTCCGATTTCTACTCTCAGTTGTATATATTTAAAAGTGGCAAATTAAAGAAACCATAAAATAAATACTGGTGGAAAATATTTACTTGGCATTTAGCTGTTATAATTTTTTAACTAGCTCAATCAACGCAAAACAGTTGGCTTGTTGCTTGTAATACAAAATTAATTTTTCATACCTCCATAGTTAACTTATTATAATGTATTTGTTTCATGACTAGTTAATTAGAATATTTTGTTAGTAAATTTATGTAAATTTCAAACTAAATATTTAAATACACAGTTGTTTGCCGTGAGTTAATACCGATGCAATGTCAGTGTGGTGGCCACTGGCCAGATACACATCGGCAACGTCGCAGATTCGCCGCGCTCCCGCCCGGCTGGGAAATATCGTACACACACCAGGCGGCCCGCTGCCAGTCGCGGGAGAAATTTTTGTTTACAAATATAAATCTGTTTAAAAAACACCTTTGTTCGCATTATAAATCTATCATATTTGTGTTGTTTCTTGTGTCACGACAAACACGATGGTATTTTGAACGAAATTTTTAGTGTCTTATTAACGATGTTAGCATAGGTTTTAAAAATTAACAGCAGCATAAAAACTATTGTGAGTAAAAATTTTAAAATGCATGGAAATGTTAACAATAAACCTACCAATAAGCCATACAAATTTCAGAAAGATTGGCTCAGTGGTTTGTTTACAATTAATTTTTAAAGTTCAGTGTTAGTGCAGAGTTCCTTAAAAACCGGTACTTTTTAGGATCTTTCAACTATATAAATTTTTCTGGTAAACGGAAAATTTTTAAATTGTTACCACGTAAAATGTATTTAAACAAGCTTACATTTAATTTTTGTTTCAACAAAATCGGATAATTCATCTCAGAGATATTTAGGCTCAAACTCGAGTGCACATATTTATTTCCCCGACAGTAGTCGTTTTGAAACATTTTTAATTTGTTGGTGCCAATTAAGATTTGAATCAAGAGCTATTCCAAGGTAGTCTACAGAATTTAACGCCATTGTCAGATCAGTATAAGAACTAAAACTTGCGCCAGACTTGTGTTGGTTCTTGACAAACCTAAAACTTCTTGATCTGCATTGGTACATCACCAAACAAATCATTTGGCTTTAGAAAGTCCACTTTCAGCAATTTTATTAGAACTATTTTTACATCATAAAAAACCTACATAGTTACGGTTACGCGAGCACAGGACCTTATACACTACGTTTTTGTTTTCACTGTCACAATTAGGAGGTTTCACCTTAGATACGTGTCTTCTTATCATATTTTGAATATACAAAGACTGACCTAATATTTTGCTTAGCATTCACGCACCTCATTTTCTCCGATAGATTTTTAATTTACGGGACGCATACTGTGGCCAGAGGTTTGTCCTTTTTGGTGGTAAACTTGTATCAGAGATGGATATTTTTCTTAGGGCTTTATTTATAAATTGACGAAGATACCCACTATCGAGTAAGCATTTTTTGATTGTTATTAAGTCCTGCTCAAAAGTCTGTTCATCGATACAGCTTAGTTTCGCCTTTTTAATGAGCCCAATTATTAATCCTAATTCCCACAGGCAAAACGCAAAACACATCGTCTACATAGCGTAACCATAACTTATGCCTAACCTTACTGTTGTAATGGCTTTTTGTTCAAAGTCATCCATGAAGATGTTACTTCATGGATGTAGGGTGTAACATGTGGAAGTAAATTTTGACTCCAGTTGTACAGGGTGAGGCAATGAGAATGTCACAATTTGTTTTAGCGGTCACATGTTAATTGTTGCAACAACGAATGATCAGCTGTGCTTATAACATCAATTAAACTATGCCATTTTATTAAATATTATTCCTGAGGCTATTAACACTGAGATTTTGATGTGGAAACCTGTTTTTAAAATAGTGATTCTTGTGCAAAAACCCAGATTTTGTTTGGACCACATTCCATCCTTGGTCAACATGGCACTGTTCCAGATTGGGAAACAATGGTGAACTGGGTAAAATTATTTAGGATAAACGCTTAAACCTAAAAAATAATCGATATGCTCCACAAAACTCTTTGTACACCAGCAAATGTTGAAAGAGTGTGAGTCGCAATGACTGAAAGTCCAAAGAGATTTGCCAGGAAGCTTTTGTTGTTGAAAGCTTTAGGTTGGCTCCTTTTTTGGGAGGGGGGGGGGTTGTTCTAATAAGCTACTTGAAGTTAGAGGTTTTTCAAAATCACCCCATATAATTGCTTGAACCGAAGCTAGGAGTTGTCCAAAAACTTAAATGATTCATGAAGAAATGCTGGAGGAGTATTTTATGGAGTTTTCAAGTAAGCACTATGTACTCAGCATAGCAACGCTGGTGGCGCTGCCTACAAATTGACAGGCAAAGCTCTCTCAAAGTACTTAATGCTTTTTATCATGCGGTTGGCATTCTGGATTATAGTAGCATGTTTTCTGTGTCAGAAGTCATAATCGTGCACACAAAATGTCTGTATACAAGTGCTCTTGTAACTCTTTTCATTGAACACATTTAATTAGATCCATTTACTTTTTTTATACTTACTTTTTTCGTTTTGATTCATT